TGGCCCCCACCTGCCAGTCAGAACACGGCCCTCACAGGGCCCTGCTGTGTGGTCTTGGGTAGGCCCGAAGCCTCTGCCCTGTGCCTGGAGGACCGAGACACAGACCTAAGAGGTGTCCAGCCCAAGGCAGCCCGCAGCTGCAGGGCCCGCGTGTGCTCTGCTCTCGGTGTCACTGCACACAGGTGACCAGCTGCCTCTGGGGCTGGCTTCCAGGTGTCAGTCACGCTCTCAGGCACAGCACAGGGAATTGGGGGGGTAGTTCATAGCACAGGCTCCACACCAGATCCTAGGATGGCTTTGTGAATTCTTTTCTTTTGTAATTTATTTCATTCCCATGCTGTCTGCACAGGTGTGCACGAGCCAGCCCCTTGACAGGGTCTCGTCAGGCTGTAATCGCTCCTGTCCACTCTCCAGCTGGGATCTCGGGCGTGTGCACCTGCACTTGGCCTGTGTTCAGGCCTGCCAGTCAGGGGTCTGAAACTGCTGCCCGCCCCTGTGGCTTCATCCGCTCTCAGTGGTTCTGGGCTGGCTCCTGCCACCCACCGCCCACCTCATTCCTTCTTGCACAAGGAGCCTTGCGGCTGGTCCGGGGACCCCGTGCGAGGACCACCTGCACCACGGTGAGGACCAGGGGCTCTCCTGAGCCCTGACTCCAGGTACCTCTCATGCTCCTCCTGGTGTCCTCCTGCTGGCCCTGCTTTGGGCAGCCAGCTTCCTCTGCCTCTAAGATCTCCCTGGACACCATCCTGGGTGCTGCCACCGGCCCCTGGACTTCTCCCCAGGCCTTAGCTCACACCACACCAGTGACCTGCTTGGAACCCGGTGCTTGTCCAGGATCTCACAGGCACCCTGTCCCTTACTGTCCCATCCCTGGGGGGCTCTTCCCCGTCATGCAGGCCACAGACCCTGGTGCCCAGTGTGGCTTCCCTCACACCCAGGTCCAGGGAAGAGCCGCTTGGGCAAGGGTCCAGACATACACCATGCCCGGCCCCTGCCGTAATGCAGGCTGGCCTGCTCCTCAGACCCAGTGGCTGTAGGCGGTCAGAGTCCTCCCAAACGCCTGTCGCTGCCCCCCACCCAGCCGCTGCAGCCTCTGCAGGACTGCTCACCTGGCTCCTGGCTCTGCCTGACCTCTGCTCCCTGCCAGGCAGAGTAGGTGGCCCTGCCCCCGCAGCACACCTTTGCCTTTCTTCAAGTCCGGCTGGGCCTCCCAGCTCCTCCGCTGGCCTGCCGGCCTTACCTGGAGCAATGGCAGCTCCTCGGTCCTGGCCCGGAGCCGCGGAGGCCCCTGCAGAGCGCTGCCCTCTCACTGGCGGCCAGGGCCAGGGCGGAGGTTTCTGTGGAACCTGTGCGGAGAGGCGCCTGAACCAGGCGCTGGGGAAGGACGGGGCGGAAGGCCACCGCAGCACGTGCGCGGGGGACCGCCAATCGGGTGCGAGAGCTCCTCGGCGGGAGC